CCCCTCACCGCCAAGGCCAACCACCCCTTCCATTTGCTCAGGCCCAAAGCTCTGGAATCTTCTTGGGTGCCTCCCTGTGTCACACATTCCTGAAAAAGTATTCAGAATCCCCCCTCCTCACCAGAGCACGGTGGGAGCAGCCGCATGGCCTTGGGCCTGGACTGTCACTTGGTCCCCTAGCAAGGCCTCTGCGCTGGCCTGGCAGCCCGGCCCACCCAGCAGCCAGAGGGGCACTTTAGAGCCACAAGTGACCTGGCTCTTGTCTTCTCAGGGACCACCTTGGTCCCAAGTCGCTAAGAGTGAAAACCGAACGCTTGGCAGATGGGGAAACTGAGGCTCAGTGAGGAAATCGTGGGAACGGGGGGTGAAACAGACAAGTCAAATGAGGAACCTCCAGACTCCTCGCCTGGCTGTGGCATGAAGGGGCTGGCCCACCTGGGGGCCCACACCCCCTCCACCTGAACTGGGGACACCCCCAAGGGAATTTTAGACGCCTGCCTCAGCATCTGTCTGTGGTCTGGCCTCCCCCTGGGTCTGGGGCTCCCCGATGGGTCTCTCTGCCCGAGAAGGGCCCCTCCCGCGGGGCCCGCGGGGCTGGGCGGGGAGCGCGTCCTTGGAGAGGAACCCAGGGACCTCGCAGAGGCTGGCTTCTGTTCCGGCAGACGGGGACAAACAGCAGGTGTGCACGGGCTGCCCGCCGCCCCCACGCGCTCCCGTGGGTGACAAACAGGAAGTGCCGGCCACCCCAGACACCCTGAAAGTAAAAACAAGCCACGTGATGCCCCACGGTGGGGGGCGGGGCACCGAACACCTCCCAGCGCCCACAGCCCCTGGCGCTGACCTCACTTCCTGCCGGGCGCACAAGGCGCCCATCCCCTAGGCCCCGTGCCTCCCCTCCCCCAGCTTTATTTACTGCACATAAGAAAACAGTGACAGACTCCCAAGAAGTTGCCAAAACAGTACAGAGAGGTCCCCCAATGATGACGTCTTATAACCCAGAGCGTCACTAAAACCAGGAACCACAGGCACATGGCCGTGAACCAGGCGCCAGGCTTACTTGGCCTGCACCATTTTTTGATGTGTCCCAGGGTGTAGGTCTGACACCCTGTCCACACACACACTGTCCGCCCACTGTGACAATTGCGGCGCAGGGCTGTCCCGCCCCCACAAGGGACTCCCTGCTCAGCCCCACACAGCCCTCCTCTCGGGCCTCTGTGCACAGACGGCTTTGTAACAGCCTGGCTGCCCCGCTGGAACGGGAGCACCCAGCAACGGGGACCGTGTCTTTCTTGTTCAAAGTGTCCTGGGCACAGGACCTGGCATACAGCAGGGGCTCAATAAAAGCTCAATGAATGAACGAGTCTGTCCAGGCCCCTCATCTTCGGCTTGTGCCCTGGCCCCTCTCCTGGGCGCTCTGCTCAGACCCCTGGGCATGCACGCTCATGGCCTAGGTCTCATCTTGGGCGCCGGGGACCCTGACACAGACACAGCAGGGTCCCCGACACTACAGGCCAAGTGGTCCATGCATGCCTGGGAGGGTCCCACGGCCCGGTCAGCCCCTGGGAGTTGGGGTTTGTCCAAGAGCCACCAGAGGGAGGAGCGGGGCCCTTGAGGAGGAATCAGGGCAAAGCAGCCCCCCACGTGGCCCCCACTCCCACGCTGCGAGCGCGCGCGCCCAGTTCTCCTCACCGACACCCGCCCGGTGGCGGGATGACAGCCCCCGTTATGGGGCTGCTGTGTGACTCTCATGGACAACCCCCAGGTCTCCCCACGGGCCAGGCCCTGGCCGACCGGCTCCACATGCACATGCTCAGCCAGCCCTCAAGTCAGCCCTGCGAGGCGCCCCCACGCCCAGATGCGGGGAGGCGCCCCGAGAGAAAAGGCGGGGCCCGGCCCAGGACCCAGGCAGACCCCAGGGCCCCTGACACCCAAGCAGCCCCGGGGCCTGGCCCCACGCCTGGCACAGAGTGGGGCTCACAGTGAACGGACGTGGAGCCCAAGCATGCCCCCTTTAAGAAAGGGGGGAGTCAGCTGTGCCCAGAGGAGCGGTGGCCCTTCACAATAACCCCAGGAGGCACCCCGAGTGTCGCCCGGCCAGGTGTGAACAAGCGCCCCTTGACACCAGGAGGGCCCTTCCAGGCTAGAACCCAGCTCTGCCGGACACGTGCCCTCTCCAAACTGCTCTGACCTTCACTCCTGCCTGCAGCCTGCTGACCGTCCCGCCACCCACAAAGGCACGCTCCGCGGGGTGCTCCGTGGCCGCCATCGCCTCCTCCCTTGGAGCCACTTGTCACCCGCCAAGGACTCCAAACCCCAAGCCTCGGCTGCATACGTGGTACCACGATGGAAACGCACAGTTGGCCGAGCCAGGTCCGGAAAATGTCCCATCGACTTAAAGAAAGACAAACTGGGGGAGGAGAATCCCAGCACAAAGCCTCAGATGCAAAGTTCTCTGGCAACTCTCCTCGCACTGACATTTGCGACCCAGTCAGGCGAGGAACCTGCAGTGGCCTCGCCCCAGAGTGGGGCTGGGGCACCTTGAGGGCTGGCAGGCCCCGGAGAGACGAGCCGGGCAGGAGAGGGGTTAACTGGTTTGCAAACTGAGCTGTCTGGGCCCCTGGCTCCCACTCTGCCCTCAGCCAACGACAGGCGTGGCCTCACTGCCAGCCCGGGGCTGACAAAACTGACCGCTGAGTCAGGCCCGTCCACAGTCCCAAGCCCGATTGTTTGCAAAGACAAAAGGGACGCTGACGGCCCAACTCTCGGCAGGGCGAGCAAGCGGGAGGGCGGTGGGAGGGGACAGCTGACCCAGGCAGCTCGGCTGGCCGCCCCTCTGGGGCCGCGCACCCAGGCACCCCACCCGAGCCTGGACCTCAGCAAGGCCTGGAAGGAGGCAGCACGGTTCCAAGAGGCTTCAGCCAACCAGCTGCGGGACAGTCCCTCTGACCTCTTGTCCCTGTTTGCGTCTCCACCCCTTGGCAACCAACAAATAGCTGGAGGCCTCTTCCCTGTCACAGGTATTAAATGGCCTGCCAGCAGATTGAGTTACAAAACACTGTCGCCTGAGGTGGGGAACACACAGAAATAAAGCCTGCGACTGACCACCAACTACCTTCACATGGGTGACGCTCTGGGGACCCCGAGGTCAGAGTGTCCCTGTCCCCGCCCGCCCCAGAGAGCAGCGGTTCAGAGCGTGGGTTCCGGAACCAGCCAGCCTGGGCACAAATCCTGTGACTCCAGCCACGCTGGGTGGGTTGCTCACCTTTCTCTGCCCGTCTCCCCAGCTATAAAGCAAAGACACGTCAATCCCGACCCCCGCGAGTAGTCGTGAGGACAGAAGCAGACGTGGCAGGCGCAGGGGCACCCAGCCCCGCGCACCAACACTGCAACTGCGTCAGATGATGAAACCGGAGGCTCCAGGGGAGGATGTCACCTGCCAAGACAGACCCAGCCAGTAAGGGACAGAACAGGATCTGAACGTGGGTCTGCAGGCTCCGGAGGCCAAGCGCTGACAGTTGCCAGCATCCCAGGCAGCTGTGGTGGATCAGGAGGCCCTCAGACTGGGGTGGGCGGGGAAGGTACTGTTGCATTTTAAACAGGAAAGAGCTGCTCGTGCTGGAAGCTCCTGCCCTTATCTCTGTGCAGCCAGCCCTGCCCCCCGGGCACCTGGTGTAGGCCCGGAGAACACCGCCGGGCCTGTGGAAACGAGGAACGCTCTCCTCATGGCCTGAACCCGAGAGGAAGTACCTGGGGTGATGGCAGGGCCGGGGGGGTCGCCAAACCCCTTCCAAGGCGGCCGCAGGTACCTGAGGCAGAACACCTGCTCCCTGCCACCCTCTGGGCTGCCCCACCCCCCAGAGGGCAGACTGGAGCTGAGCTCACACATATGCCACCCACGCCGAAGCCACCGAGCAGGCAACCCCGAGCCATGGGCACAGGCCCTGCCCGTCAGTCCACGGGGGCCTGGAGGCGCCCCTGCTTTGGTCCTCGGCCCACGCTGGCCCGGTGAGCCAGAACGCTCCGCGAACTGTGCCTTCAATCCGGAGCCCAGGGCTGGTCTCCAACAGCTTAAGAAGTGCTAATGTTCTAAAAGGCGCTACCTGTTTTATAACTAAGTGTCCTCCCCACGCCTCCACAAGAAATGACCCCCCCTACCCCCAATAACGAGCCCCCTGCAACTAGGGCGCATGGGCGAAATCAATCACAGAGCTGGGAAGTCAGACCGCATGGCAAGCTCCTTTGTGCCCCTGAAGTCTGCGTGTCCTTCCCCAAGCAGCTGCCAGAGCTTATTAGATGTTTATAAGAAAAAAGGCAAGGGGGGCCTTTTTTGGATGGAAGAGGGTGGGACACGCTGCTCCAAAGCACATCAGACAAAAGGCCCGAAGACCGGCTGGCCTAGGCTGGGGACATCTGGCCCCAATCCCGGCTCACCTGCTCCAGCTTTTACAAGCACCGGACCCCGGCTGGCCTGACCTGCGGCCACCATCTGTCGGGCACTGGCGCAGGTCAGAGGGGCTCCCTGAGCAGGGCCCACCTTGCTGGTCCCTAAGAATGTTGACAACGCACCCAGAGCGCTCCCTGTCCAGCCAAGGCCTGCGCTCGCAGAGACCAGAGGTGCAGCTACCGTCCCCCGCCCCCGCAGGTGCAGGAACAGAGACAGGCACCTGTGCCAGCTGCTAGAGATCACACAACTAGAAAGTGGGAAGCCAGGATTTGAACCCCAGGCCGCAGGCTCCGGAGCCCATGCCCCTCATCTCTCCGCCATGTGGGCTCTGGCGGGGGTGGCAACACGCAATCTGCCTTCCCTCAGTTCTCCCAGCTTGTCCCCACACCTCGCCCCGCCCCCGAAACACAGCCCTGGTTCTGGAGAGCTGGGGGAAGTGTCCTCAGAGCACCCTCTGGCACAACCCAGGCAGTGGGGTTGGTGGTCCTGGCAGCAGTGTCTGCACTGGGAGGCCCAGGAAGCCCCTGCCCCGCCCCCAGCCGGCTGCCCCACTCACCCATACGTGCGCTGGATCAGGGTGGGGTGCAGCTGCTGTACACCGATGGCAAAGCCTGCAACGAGAGACCCGTTAGGGGCTGGGCTCGCCTGGGGCAGCAGAGCCACACAGTCACACAAGTCTAACCAAAAGGGGTAACGGGCTCCCTCTCCCCTCCCAGGCCACCCCCCGAAGAACCCCAAAGCCCTGAGCCGAACAGGCCAAGGGACCTGGGGGACAGCAGCCGGTAGGCTTTCGTCCTCCCTGTCTCAGGCCCTGGAGACCAACTTCCGCTAGCCCGCGAGAACAGCTGACAACCCAGGGACGCACCCTCCCCACCCTGTGCCACTGGCACCCGCAGCTAGGTGAGGGGTCCAGCTCCCAAGCTGGCGAACGGCTGCCCTGTGACGGCTGTGCAAGCACATGACAGCCGACTGGCACCCCAGGGGCGGGCGGGGGCGCTCCACTAGACAAGATACCGATGCTGAATATAGCAGCCAAGGAGAGCCAGGGAAGGGAAACAGCCTCTCACCCGAATGGAGGCTCCGCGGCTTGGCGCCCAGATAAGCCAGGTTCACGTTGGCCTTGCGGCCGTCGATGTTGGGGTTAGGGTCTTTGCAAGCCCTCTCAGCTGCCGCCCGGTCAGCCATGGTCACCTGGAGGAGCAGACACATCGGTGGGCTCTGCCTTGGCCCCCGTGCTCACGCCCGCCCCCCCACGACTTCTGACCCCAGCCCGGGCCCCTCCCACAAAGCTGCCCGCTGGATTCAAGCTCCTCCCCCCAAAGTTCAAGTGCTGGGAAGCCTTGCCTTCAAGGGCAGAAACAATCCCCAGGGGAGACCGGGCACCCTCCCTTCTTCCAAGAGAGGCAGGGGACCTGTGAAATTCCTCTTGGGAGAGGTTGGGAAACACTGTAGTTAGAAACTGGTTTCAAGCCGCTTTTATTTAAACTAATGTTTACCTGAAGCAGCAGAGGGGGCTGTTGGAAAATACGGGGGGGGGGGGGGGGGGAGGGGCGCTAAAGGTCTCCAAAGAGCCCGGGGTCGAAGCCTCTGCTCCTCGCTAGCTAGTTGCTCCAGAAAGTCCCGAGAGTAGTCGTCTGACCCCAAAACCTCTCCACGAACTTGTAAGTTCGAATTGAACCCTGAGGATCTCCCTTTTAAACTGGGTGTGGAGTGGAAGAAGGTTGACCCAGCCCGGGGGTGGGGAGGCGGGACCGACTAGAACGCGAATCGCCGTCCCTGGAGCCCGAAAGGGGGCAGCAGGTGCCAGCACCGGCCGAAGGCGCCCCGGGCGGCTGGGCGTGCGCCCTCTGGTTGACTCAGCGCCCCGGGCCAAGATAAGTGCAGATTGGGGTGCGCGCCCGGCCGCGGGGCCACTTACAAAGCCGTAGCCGCGGGACTTGCCCGTCTGGCGGTCGGTGATGACCACGGCCTCCTCGATGTCCCCGAAGCCCTCGAAGTACTTCCTGAGCGAGGCGTCGGTGGTGTGGTATGGCAGGCCGCCCACGAAGATCTTGGTGAACGTGGTGTCCTTCTGCGAGCCGTGCATGGCGCCGGGGGCGGCCGGGGGCCGCGGGAAGCCCGCGCTCGGGGCGCACGGCGCGGGCTGCAGCAGCATGGGGGGCGCCCCGCGGCCTACGGACCCGGGTCGCGCGGGGATGCGCTCATGGGCGGCGGCGGGGTGCGAGCTAGGTAGCAACGGCGCCTCCGGGCCCGTCCACTCGCGGGCCGCTCCAGCCGTGCACGCCGCGCTGAGCTGCGCCGCGCTCCTGCCGGCGCTGCGGGCACTCTGCGCTCCGGCGCCCGCCCCCGGGCTTTGTAGCCGGCTCCGCCCCCGGCCCGCCTCGGGCCCGCCCCCGACCCGCCCCTGGCGCGCGGGGGCCGCCGGGAAGCGTAGTCCGGGCCCCGCCCCGCCGCGCCCAGCGCTCTTGGGGAGGCCTTGGGGTGGGGTCCGCTGCGGGGGACGGAGCATCCGGAAGTTTCCCGAGGTCCTCCTACGTGCCTGCCGAGTTTCCGGCCGCTGCCCTCATGGAGCGCAGACTCTAATGAATCAGATATAATGATTATTAGGTCATGTTTATTGAGGCACTATTTATGCCAAGTTATGGCAACATACATAATATAGGTAAAATGATTTTTCTTTTATCCATAGATAAAATTTGTTCGACGAATATTAATCAGGGAGTTAAGGCTGCAAGGATGGGCAGAACACACTCTAGCCCCACGGCGAGTCTATGAGTAAGACGCACAATTCAGCAAGTACATACACACTATAATCTGGAAAGAAAGAAATCGGGGTGCTGCCGTCCAGGAGAGGCTGAAATGGCCCCAGAGGCCACCCAGAGAAGGTGACTGGGTAGGGGAGGTAGTTCTGGCCTCTTCAAAAGCCTGTCCCCAACCACGGCTGGTGCCAGGGATCCCTCCATCTGTGTGGACCACCCTTGGAGGAAGGCAAGAAGAGGGCTGTCCACGCCCCCTTTGTCCTGTGGTCCCCAACCACAGGAACTGGTTGCCTCATCTCCAGCCCTCTGAATGTCGCACCTGGCAAGACTGGCTACAGAATTTTGAGAGCTCCAAGTCACTAGGAATTTCACATCTGACAGCACAGCACTGAACCGAGTGTGGGCCTTTCTGAGCATCTGGCCGTGTAACAGCACAGGTCAGAGAGCTGGCCCTGGTGCCAACTTCCCCCAAAGGGGGGTCATACCACGGTGCCAGTTCAGCCCCGGAGGCCTCAGGCTCTCTGCATGTCCAGGTCCCACCATTGTGACACCCTGTGCAGTCTGGAACTGTAACTCTTAAGTGAGGTCACTCTGGCTGCAACCCTACGGACTCCTCTCTGGACACTGGGACAGAGGCTGGGGTCTGCGGGGCCACCAGTGGCACCAGGCAGGCTGAGAGGGACAGGCATGCGGGTGAAGTGTTTGTCATTCAGGCTGTGTTTGATCCCAGGTCCGGACGAACCCGTTTCATGCCCCTGGACTCCCTAACCCCGAAATCCACGCAGCAGCCACTGAAGTCTGATCCTTCCTTCCCCAAGCCACAGCCCCCAGTCGCCTTACACTGGGTGTGGAATGCCAAGTCTTTGACGTGCCTACTAGGAACACACTTTTCTGTCTTAACTCATTTCCCTTTCTCATCACTCACGTCACTCACTGTCCCTCCAAATTACCAGGCACAGCCCTGCCTCCAAGCCTTTGCAACATCGCTTTGCAAACAGAGGGCCCTCGGGAAACATTTGCACAAATGTACGTGGAACGCAGGAGACGAGGACAGCTCTCATCTGGGAAAGGGACCCTCTGCCCTGGCCGGTGCGCTCAGTGGCTTAGAGAGTCAGGCTGAGAGCCAGGGTTGCGGGTTTGGTGGCCTGCTCAGGGCTCACACAGGAAACAACCCATGAATGCATCAGGAAGGGGAAAAACAAAGCAGTCACTCTCAAATCAATAAATAGAAGAAAAAATGTAAAAAACTGAAAAGGGAGCCTCTGAAAACCTGGATTAACATGTGATCTAGCTCTTTTCCTCCCCGGCTACCTGAAGATCGGCCGCCATGGAGAAAGACACAGTAATTATCCGGGCCAGGAACGTCCTGGCCGACAACGTCAGAGAAAACAAATGGTCACTGTTGTTTACCCAGGAAGGCAACAGTACCTAAGACAGAAATTCGGAAAAAGCTAGCTAAAAGGTATAAATCCACATCAGACATCATCTTTGTGTTTGGATTCAGAACCCATTTTGGTGATGGCAAGACAACTGGCTTGGACGTGATTTATGATTCCTCGGATTATGCAAAGGAAAGCGAACCCAAACATAGACTTGTTGGATACAGACTATAGAAAAGAATTCAAGAACAGCGAAAGGAACACCAGAACCACAATGAACGAAGTTAGCAGGACTGCAAGGGCCAACGTTGGTGGTAGCAAAAAATAAATAAATAAATAAGGAATAAAGAATCTTCACTGCCTTTGTGGTGATTATGCAGGGTTTTCATGGAAAGATTAATGAACTAAGAACTTTAAAAAAATAAAGCGTGACCTACACTTGTTGCGCCAGGGAAAGCGTCCGCTGGTCGGCCACGTGATCTTCGGCAAGCTGGGTTCCCTCTCTGCGCCTCAGTTTCCCATCTTGTGACCGACAGGTCCCGACAGCCTTGGCCAGGAGGGGCTGGGGCAGGATTCCCCGCGTCCTGGGCTCCCCGCGCAGGGTGCGGGCGGCTGAGGCTCCGGAACTACAAATCCCAGCGCCGCCCGCGCGGGCCCCGCCCTCCTCCGCCCGCCACCCCCAGCGAAGCCGCCGCGCGCGACTGGTGGCGGGCGGCGGGCGCTTGCGGAGCACGTGCTGGCCCTGGGGTCCGGAGGGGTCCGGAGGGCTCCGGAAGCGTCCCGACCCGGGGCGGCTGCCCAGGGCCGGGCCACAGGGTCGGAAAAGCGGGAAGCGTAGGACTCGGGCGGGGCGTTGGGCCACCCCGGAGCGGGCGGGCTCGCCGCGTGCACCTCGCCTCTTGTCCCGCTGGGAAGGCGGCTGGGAGGGAGGTGGTGTAGGGGGGGGCGGGGGCGGGGGCGGGTAGCAGCGTCTTAAAAAGCAGGTGCCCACGTACGGGTTCCTTCTTTCACTCATTCATCCCCTGATCCCTTAGGTTCTGCATCGTCAACCTCTCCGACCATAGGTTGGCCCCACGGCCCCACGTGTTACCAACTTCTGCCTGAGTCATTTACCCAATTGATACTTAATGAAACAGCCCATCCGCTGGCAGGCCAGGGTTCTAGACCCCAAACCGGGGTCTACTGCTAGCCGGAAGCAAACGTGTCTCCCCGCTTGCCGCAGTGAGCTTTATGTTTTAGGAGCAGAGAAACAATAAATGAATATTACACGTAGGTAAATTTTTCAGGCAGTTGCTGAGAAGAGAACCAACAGGGACCAGGGAGAGGGGGCTGAAAGCAACAGGTGTACTTTAGTGCCAGGGAAGCTGCTAAACACTGCAGTGCCGAGGATGCCCCACAGCAAAGAACAGCCTGGCTCAAAATGTCAATAGCGCTGAGATTAAGAAAACTTGTGCTAAAGCAATGCCAACAACCAGGCCCCTTGTGTAAGAAAAATAAACCCCTAAGGGGTTGTCTCCCCACTCCCCTCAGGCCATGTGGCCTGGTAGGTTGGGAGGCCAGCCAGGAGGTTGATCTTGGTCCCATCGTTTGTGACATCGGGCTGGCGCTCCTCCCTCTAAAGCCCCAGCCCTCAGGAGGGCACAACAGCAGTGCCTTGTGCGCTGGGAGGCTGGGAGGCGGAAGGGGAAGAGCGCAAGTGTGGCCACCCGGGCCCGGCTGCCTCCGGTCAGCCCCCAGGGACGGCTGCTTGCCTCTTGTCCCCTGAGGATGGCGTCCCGGGCTCCCAGCTCTGGGTGTGGCTGAAGGAGCGGGCCCTGTCGCCCCTGCCCGCTGCCCACACAGAGCACTCAGAAGATGTCTGACGCTGAGTCGACCTCACTGATTGTCCCCATGGGGAGAGCCTGGACTTGGGACCCTGCTCAGGAAGGTTGGCCTTTGTCTGAGATGATGCCTGTGGGGGTATGAGCATTTGTCATGGGTTGAATGCATCTCCCCAAAAATATGTTCGCCTTGGTTGTTGAGGCTCAGTTGGCTGGAGTGTCGTCCTGTACCCAAAAGGTTGCAGTTTTGATCCCTGGTCAGGGCACACACAGGAGGCAACAAATCAATGTTTTTCTTTCTCTAAAATCAATGAGAAAATGTCCTCGGGTGATGATTAAAATATATACATGTTCAAGTCCTAACCTCTGGTACCCATGCATGTGACCTGATTTGGAAGCAGTTTTTGTAATATAATCAATTTAAGATGAAGTCATGTTGCATGAGTATGGGCCTAATCCAGTGCCTGTTAGCCTTGTAAGGCCGCAGGAAGACGCAGAGACACGGGGAGCACGCCAGGGGACGATGCCAGGTTGGAGCGGAGCCCGCTGAGCCCAGGCCACCGTGAGTGCTGCAACACCAGGGCTAAGAGAGGTGGGCGCGAGGAGGAGTCTCCGGTCTGCGGGCCTTCCAAGGGGGCACAGCCTTGCCGGCACCTGGAGGGGGTACTTCCGGTCTCCTGAACTGTACGGGAATCAGTTTCTGCTGTCAAGCTGCCCGGGTTGTGGCCCTTTGCAGTATTAGACCCAGGAGACTAACTCAGCTGAGGCGGGGAAGGCCAGCACAGAGCCCGGGGCAGGGGGAGCCGCTGCTCAGCTGGGAAGGTGGGGTGCAGCTAAGGATCCTTCCACTGAAAACATACCCCATCTATGCCCGTTCCTGTCCTTCCCCCCAACCCCCTCGGGAAGAGAACTGGCTCCCACATTCCTGGGAGCCCCGCTGCCCACCTCCTGCGTGGGGCCCTCGGGCTCCGCCAGCAGCTGGCCAGGCTGGGGCCCAGCCCCCCTCACCGGCAATGCCAAGGCACCACTTGGCTGCCACCCCAGGACCAACTCGGGCCTTTAGTTTTCAGCCGCCCCGCCCCCCCGCCGCCGGTGTGTGTGTCAGGGGTCACTGGATGTGTCACACACGTGCTAGAGGGCTGTCGGGGCCTCGGGTGCCTCAGCTCTCAGTGGGCATGATGACAGTCACTTCCTTGTAGGGCTTTTATGGGGATGAAACTAGACAGTGCACAGAAAGTGCTGAGCTCGCTCCGTGCTGCATAGGAGCTCAGTAATGCAAAAGCCTGCGATTTTCAAGTTTTGTGTGGGCCCGTTTCGGTTTCCAGCCTGCGTGGCAGCCCACAGCAGGCAGGGAGGCGGCAGCCCACCCACACGCGCTCCGTCAGGAGTTCAGTGGCTCCCATCGCCTGGGGACAGAGGCCCAGATCCCTTTCCTCAAGACGCCATCCCTACCTCCTCTCCAAGCCAGGGCTGAACGGCCCAGCTCCATCCACGTTAGAAAAGCGGCCAGTGCTGATAGGATTATAAACGCGCCCAGTGCCGCTGCGAAGGCTGCTCGCTGTCTCGTTTCCGGCGCCCCGCAGGTCAGCAGGTGTGCTGGGAGCCCCGTCGGGCGAACCGAAGCCCGTTGGCCCGGTGCACGTGTGGCTAGTACCTGGGCTGCAAGAAGCCTGTGACCCAGCACTAGGGTGAAGGGCCAGCCTCTCCCTGCGTCAGAGTGAGGTGACCGCCTGCTCCTGCTGGCTGGGGTCTTCCCGGTGAGTGCAGGCTGGGTGGCCCTCCCGCAGCAGGTGTGGCCTGGCAGATGAATGGACCACCTGTCCTGGGAGTCTGGAAGTATGTGTGGAGGCTCCTGTAGGTACCACGAGGACAGGGAACGTAGCCCGAGGGCAGTGGGGCAACAGACACCACGTCACACCTGGAACGCTGTCTTAGCTCGGGCTGCTGTAACAAAGCACCACAGACCGCGCAGCTTACACGACAAATTTGTCTCCTCCGGTTCCGGAGGCCAGATGTCCAAGATCAAGGTGTGGGGAGGGGTGGGTTTGGGGGAGGCCTCTTTCCTTGGCGTGCAGACGGCTGTCTTCTCCCTGTGTCCTCCCATGGTCTTGTCTCCTTGTGTGTCTGTGTCCTAATCTCTTCTTGCAAGGACATCGTCAGTCGTACTCCACTGGGGCCCGCCCCACGTGACCTCATGTAACTAGTCACCCGTCTGAAGACCCTGCCTCCAAATACAATCACGTTCTGAGGTGCTGGGGGTTAAGACAACAACATGGGAATTGGCATGCAATTCAGTCCATAACAAATACCTGTTCTGCTTTGCAGACAGCTCTCAGCTGTTGGACAGAATCGTGTGTGGGGTCTTCCACACTGGCCGCATGGCCCTTACTGCAAAGCGCCCCCATGCGGCCCGAGAAGTGAGTTGTGCACATGAAATCCCAAGAGTTAAGGAGCGTTGACAGATTCCTTGGACCCTCTGGGACCAGGAGTCATGAGTCTAAAGACGGTGGGAAGTACCGGTCATCGAGCAAGCCTCTCCCAGAAAACGTCAGCCTCCACTGCGCTTCTGTTTCCAAGGCCAACCCGGAGCCAGAAATATTCACGAAGGAAAGGAAGTGATGACAAACGCAGCGCCCCAGTTGGTGCCCACGGTCAGGAGGGCCAAGACCCAGCCCGCGGAAGAAGGCGGCCCGCTGTGGCCGGAAGCCCAGGTGCGGGTGAGTGAGAAGCCAACCTCTCCCAGTCCCCAGGCGGCCCCGTGAAACCTGGCCACCTGGAGTGATGCTCACATTGCATGACAGGCCCTCGGGCACATCGGATCGCTGAGGCTCACACACAGAGGAAGGGGCCGCGCTCCTGGCGGGTAGCAGAGAAAGGTGTGAAGGCGCAGGTGTGGTGGGTGCCGCCGTGGTCCTGGCGCTGCCGAGGGCAGCGACGACAGTTTCTTCTTAGTACTGTGTCCGCTTCCTCTGCCCGCCTCCCTGCCGCGCACCCATGGGGAGAGCCCTCAAGGGTAAGAATGCATGCCAGTTATTTTTTAAGGGGCCAACTTACACTTTAAGCAAGTATGCAAGAGGTTTTTATTTGCTTTGGAAATGGCACTCACCTCAAAAAGCATTTCTCAATATACTGATGTGAAATTCACAAGACTTACACACAACAGTCTATAGAATGATTTATTCTGCTGTATTTGCCTTGTGCTAACAACACCTATTGTGATTTCAAAAACAAAACACAACAAAACACAAAAACAAAAACCTCTCAAAACCGCAGCCGCAGGGCTCTCCTGTCTTTGGTCTGAGCTCTGTGCGCCGGGGCCGGGGCGTCCTCCCTGAGCAGGACGTCCCGCAGAGCTGTGACACGTGGGCAGCCCCTGGCTGTCACCCCGGCTCCTCTCCGGGAAACAGGCAGCTTGTGCTGGAACTGCCTTTCTAAGCTCTGCGGCCAGGAGAGACTTCCAGCAGGCGCTCTGGACCCATGGCCTGGGGCTTACAGATCAAGCTTGCCCAAAGGTCTCCAAAAAGGTTTGAGGGGGAGGCAGAGAGGAAATTGGCTTCGAAATAGAAAAGCAACAATCCCAACGGATCAGTTTCATTAAATGTGTACGGATGCAACACCAGAAGCCCCGCGAGTGTCCCCACACATTCAATATGTTTGAAAACAGCTTGTCAGGAAACACTTCTTTGGAGAAATTCTCTAGTATTCAAGGTGATCATTAAGAAATCATGGCCAAGGTAATTTCAGAAGTAAAACCATGAAAACCAAATAATTTCAGAAGTAAAAACATGAAAAATGCTTTAAAAAAATCCGCAGTGAAAGAATGTGCATTTATGGTAGGAGTGGTGGGGGGCGTGTTAACATTCGACGTGACGGCTGGGAGACCTCCAGACATCGGGGGCCTATGGCAGCCAAGTCCCTGGGGGACCGCCTGCCGGCCAGCGCGGCTGCGTGTCCAGGGGCCACGGCGAGGGGCGGAGGTTGTGAGGTGGGGCTCCTGCCTTCCCAACCAGGGCAGGGGCAGTGCTCAAGGGTGAATGCAGGCTCCGAGCCCCCTAGTCCACAGGCAGCCATGACTCAAGGTCCCAGAAGGAAACCAACGAGGACATTAAATTCATTAAGTAGGGAAATCAGGACTCTGGCCTCGGAAAAACTGTTGCTTTTCACGTTTCCGAAGAAGGTCAAGCATTTTTCTAAAGGTAAAACTTATTTTAAAAAACATTCTTCTCAGAGGATAAGTAATCCCTCAATTCCACTTTCCAGTGTCTTAACAAGCTTGGTAACAAAAGCAAACGGGAAGCCTATACTCATTTCCTCTAACAAACTGAAGTCTCTGGAATTGAATCCAGAACCTGCTCCCTGGCCAGGGCATGGGCGTGACGGGCGCCATCTGCTGGCTGCACTGAAGCACAGCAACCCCCAGCGGGATTCCCCTTAGGACGCCAAGGGGCTTCCCTCCCTCGGTGGAGTCACCAGTTCTCACGGGGGACAGGGATGACTCATTGAAGTGTACCTGCGCTCGGGTCGCCCACCAATCCCACCAGGCCTCCTCTCATCCACGGCCGTGACGGACGCGGTGCGGCAGGCGGGGCGCAGCAGGCCCCGGACGGATGGAGGCGGTCTCGCAGGCCTGCGCTCACGCACTGAGCGGCCGTTTCCAGGCGGAGCCCCGTGCACCTGCCTGTGGCCGACTCCTAAACCCCCGAGGGCACCGCCCCACGAGGCCGCGGGCACACGCAGTGGCGGAGGAGAGCGAGCCCGGAGAACCAGACAAGTGTAGCGCAGGTGGCCCGGGAACTGCAGAATCCGGGCGCGAGGATTCCGTTCCCGGGAAGACGTTCTAAACTCTTCCGTGGATGAAAATTCTCGTAAAACGTGGGGGAAACGCGGGGAGCACCAACGTGTCTTTCCCATGAGGTTCATCAACTCCACTTTCTATTTTCAAGTGGGTATACAGTACATTTCTAACGGCAGGGTGACTTGACATTTATGAAGTGACGAGTACACTTGTATCTTTTTGAAATAGAGGATGCCATCACACCTACCAGCACTTACTGAGCACCTCCTGTTTGCAGCGTGCAGTACTGGTTGGTGCCCGCAGGGACGGGGAAGGTTATGCGGCAAGTTCCGCAGGACTCCCTGTGCCTTTTAGGAAACGTGAAAACAAGTATCTTAAGAAGTTTAATGGTTCCAACAAATACTTCTTGGTTCATCAGCAGCAAACTCATGGCTCTTATGCTCCTGGTGGGCAACCTGGTGCCTGGCGGCCCCAAGGCCAACCTTGGACTTAGGCAAGTGTTTCCAAATTGCCAATTACAAAAATGGACTCCTTGGTCACGTGGCAAGGCCCAGCGTTGGGAAAGAACCCTCTACAAAGCTCATGGCTCAGGTTCATTATTTCCGTGGCCACTTTCAACCCTGGCTTGTAGAAAGAACAGCGACGCTGTGGCTGAGGTTGTGAAGCTGTTCCCGCCTCCAGTGAAGGCTGCTCCTGAACCCAGCGAGCTTGCCTCCCTCACCTTCTTTTCTCCCCCCATATCTCCCCATCTGCACACATCATAAAGCCACAGGGCTGATTCATAAAAGGAGAAAACAAGATGTAAAAGGTTAACTTGAAGATTCAGGTTTCTTTTTCTGGTGCACATACCTTTTTCTTTCTCAAAAAATAACTTTTCAGGCTAAAAGACAGAGCCAAAGAGCTAATGGGTGTGAGTTCACTTGTGATCCAACTACCAAAGAATTTCAATCACCGAGCGCAGGCGATCTCTTCCTGTAGAAAATTTTATTTGCATTGCTTTTTATGAGTAGGCAAACACAGCTTACATTACGATACCAGATTTCCACACTCAGCAAGTTAGTTTACACACCAGCCCCACACAGTAAAGTGTAAGAAGCATTTGGGATCACAGGGTAAAAACACCGAACGTTAAGTTGAACTTCATTTCATACTTACCCATCGGGAATGTTAAATTACACAAAATAGAAAAGTACCCCAAAACTACCACTACTGGGGGGCGTGAGTCAAGAGCACTTCCCATGCGGGGAACTGGGCTCCTGCCTTGCCAGCCACACACAGCGCCCACTCAGGCCTTGCCCAGAAAGGCCTGTCCCCAGTTCAGCCACGAGGGCTGCCCAGCAGAGCCGCAACTGCTGGGACATTAAGACGGGAATGAAAGACAAGGAGAACGCGTCCACTCTCTGCCTGCCCACGCTGGGAGAGGCGGTTGCTAGACATCCCCCTTGGGAGAGTCATCTGCAACCCAGGATCCCCATCTTTCCGAAGGTGCAAGATCTCTGGTTTCCCGAAGGGTGTCTGAAGTCACGAATGAAAACCCTGCGGCGATGCTGAAGAGGAAGGACCACGCCAGGGCTTCCCCAGGGGGGCAGGCAGGCAAAGGGGGTGATGGACACAGGGAGCTTAGGAGGCGATCTTCAAAATGTTTTATTACAAAGTACAGTACAGCGTTCATAAAACGGCCCCCAGTGTCTCTGGAACACACGCTGCTGAACGAAGCACTGCACGCTAGCTGGCTGGGCCCGCATCACTCTAACTTTGACAATGACCTCAGTCCCCGTGGAGTCACAGAGGACACCTGGAATGGGCAGTGGAATGAGTCCAGCAGTCAACTGTGGCCTGCGCGGGCCCAGCTGCGAGACAATGGCGTTGTTTTCCCCAGGGGTTGAAATCCACATCCATGGTTCACAACCCACCGAAGGCTGGGCCCAGATTCATACACAGAGAAGGGAGATGGAGAGAAAACAACTCCAGACACCCCAGGAATCTCCGCCACTACTTCTTGTTTCTGGGTTTTAGCTCTTCAGCTGCGTTCCGCAGGAAAATGTAATTTTTCTTTTGGGGATTATAAAATTCATGGCCCTAAAGGGGGAAGAAAAAACCACCACCTCATTATGGAAAAGCAAAACTCGGCGATCCTGCGGGCACCTCCCCCCGCCGAGCCCGGCGCTGCGTGTGGTGCGCGGTCCCTCAGGAGGAACGGAGCAGGCAGGCGGGAGAGCCCCAGGTTAGACAGCGACGTCAGTCCTGGGGAAAAGGCTGGGGCTCGGCAGAAACCCGCCCTCGGCGTTCTGCGTGGAGGAACCATCTTGTACACATTCGTCTTTCAGGTGCCAGGACTCTTTCAAACCCTCCACCCCTTCAATAACACCCAGGTGACTTGACTGGCCCCAGAAAGCCAGCCTGCGGGGAGGAGCGGGGGGCGGGGGCAGCTCTGGCCAGACGTTCCCTGGAAGAGGAGACCCCTGGGACGAGGGCAGCCCAAGGAAGGCGCCCCCCGACCCAGGGAGAAGGGAAGGAGGCGTGGAGGTGAGCGTGGCCGGTGAGCGTGCCAGCCCGATGCGCGGGAGGAGCCGGGCCAGCCGCGGGAACCCTCACCTTGGACCAGTCGTAGCTTGACGCGTATGCGAATATGTTTCCATTGTGATTGAAGCAGCAAGCCGAGATGGGCTGATCTAACTGTTCCGAGGTTTTCAGCTTTGTCCTGGCATCTTTGTCCCAGAAGCTGAACCGACCGTCGGACCCCACAGTGGCCAGGGTGCCGTGCACAGGGTGGAAGGCGATGCCATTGACCTGCCGGGATCGGAACGCGCAGTGAGGAGGCGGGGCTGATCCCGGAGGGCCGAGAACCCTGCCTCCCCCACCCTGGCGCGCCCTCTGCTTGCGGGGGAACCGAGAGCCCTAGAGCCGCTTCGCCTGGTCACAGGAGAGCCAGCCACGCTCCCCAATCGCCCGGCGGCCCAGAACCAAATCTTGTCTCATCATCATCAGCCCAAGTCAGCAGAAGTTACTAAGCATCTAGCTGGTGACGCCGAGGCACTGAAGCTCAGGAAAAGGCCCTTCTTTCTCAGCGAACAGCAGTTCTCAGTGAGAGCTGAGTGGAGAGCCCGTCCCCCAGCACTCTCCCCTGAAGCCCTGAGCTTGCACTCAGAAACAAAACAGAAGGAACAGGGTCAACATGTTCTCAAAAACAGAAAGCGGAAACCTCCAGCCGAAGCCGTTGCCCTCCAGATGTGAGCACACGGTGCCGTCACCATTTCTAATCCCAGGATGACTCAGCCACCCACTGCTGAGTCGAGTTTCTAGACACATTCTATTCTCAAGGTGAAGACTCTGAAAACATACCGCATAGATGTCCTGAGGAGCTGAAGTGTTGGTTCCGTTAGATCGGTGACATTTAAAGGTGAAGTTGTCTTTGGCTCTGAAAAACAAAAACAAAGACCAGACTAAGTTTTCTTTAAAAAAAAAAAAAAAAAAAAAAAAAGGTCTCCCGTGGAAACTCGCCCCGACTGCGCCCCACTCACGGGTTTGGGGGGTTGATGTAGTGAATGGCCACTCTGCCCTCGATGCTCCCCAGGGCGAACCCCGTCGGCTTGTTCTGTTTGTCTTTGAAGATGGCCACACAGCGATGCTGTGGTTTGAAAACAAGACAAGTTCATTCTCACAATGTAAAACCAACCATTTCCCACTGAATTGGAAGGTAAACTGTTTCTACCCCGTTTTGGTTTCAGAAGACCCAGGACCACATTACTCAAATGTGACACAGAAAGCACTTTTTTCCTCCAGGGAGCATGATTTCCTAACTCTCATCAAGAGGCCGCAGGCCACGTGCGGCGACACAGGCCTGGCCGTCCCTCAGCCGCACCACGGCCCTCGGAGCTCCTGCAGCCTGTTCGGGAGCGGAGCCCTGCAGGGGAGGGCCACAGACACACCCGCACCAACGGGGCGGGCACCCCTCCTTCACGCCTCTGCCCCCTCTGGCAGAGGGCGCTGTCTGGCCGCCACAGGGGAGCAGGGCCAGGTGGGCAGTGGCAGGGCCAGCACGTCCTCACCAGGAATGTGCTGTGTGGAAATGAGAGCTGTGCTTGACCCAGCACTGAGCCTGCGGGCCCAAAGGAGGGCTCGCTGGACCCCCGAGAAGACCCCACGGCAAGAGCCCATGCCCCAGCCTTCCGGGCAGAGCAGCCGGGGCTGGGCACCCGGGTCCTCCCTCCCTTCTCCTGTCACCGCAGCTCGCCTGCCCCAGGGGCCCCCGCCCTGCCCAGCTGGGCCCTCCTGCGCCCGCGAGCAGCTCGGGAGGCACGGGGCCTGGGCCACCGAGAGGAGGGAAGGGCGGCGCGTCGCTGTGACAGAGCTGGAGCAGGCACACGGCCAGGGAAAGGGAAAGTGTATGCTGGTTCCCTTTCTGTGCCATTTGCCCTTTTTAAATCAAAAACCAAAAATCAGCAAGCCCGTTACTTCTGTGAATATGAAAAAAAAAATAACAAAAAGCGGCAGAGGTCTGTCAGTGCTCAGAGGGCAGGAGCCTCAGCTGGTCGAGCTGTGCCCCTACCGGTGCCCCCGGCTCGGCACAGGGTCTGACACCGCACGCAGACCAGACACCGCACGCCCTAGGGGTACAGCGTTTGAGAACACGGTGCACTTGTGGCGGGGAAGATGCATGCTGCTCCTCAGCAAGCGCAAGGCCAGGCGCTGGCGCGGGGTGGCAGGAAGGGAAGGCAGGCTGGTGTGGGTTTTGTCACGGACTCCGGGATGTGCCCAGAGGGCAACACCGGTCACGTCTGGGTCTGAGGCCAGGTCACCGCAGGGTCACGGGAAGCGCAGAGGGAGCCCACACACTCGGGCACAGAGGATGGACCAAAGGACCCGACCTCTTCTTGTCCCTTAATGGGGAAGGGCAAGGGGATCAGGGGGTCTAGCTGGCTCTGGAGGAGGATGTGGGGCCGGGTGAGGCTTGTTCTCTAGGCTGAACGGGACTCGGGCTCACCAGTGAGAACAGAGCAGCGCCGAGAGGCGGGAGACGGACGACGCAGGGGGAGCTGGCTGGTTGGTGGCGCAGGCCCCAGCCGGAAACCGGCCCTGGGGGGACACCGCCCCCACCCGGCGGGAGGGCCGGCAGGGAAAGGGGCAGGCACAGGCGGGAGGCGAAGACGCTCCCCCCACCACTAGCTTTTGCTCTCTGCGTGGCGGCGATCTGAGCTGAGAGGCAGGTGAAGGGGGAGTCGAGGAGAAGAGTGAAGGAGGTCTGAGGGTCCGTGGCCAGGGGAAGAGCGGGCTGGGGAAGAGGCCTAGGGACTGCCTCGTGTGACGGAGGCAGGGCTGAGGGCGCACACGGCGCCTACAGCGGACCCAGTCCACTGAGACGGGCGCCCTCATTCGGCAGCACCCAGCGACCCAGGGGCCTTCGGGAGGACAGGCGAGCTGGGCACTCCCAGGGTGGAGTAGGTTCACTCACTAGGCATTCGTGTTCGGACCCTTACGTTCATGCCTTCTGAAAATACTCACAGGCGTTTGGGGGTGCACCTCTGTTCCCCCTGCAGCTCCAGGACAGGTACGAAACGGCGGCTTCCTGACTCGACTTGCGACTCACCTGATGTTTCAGGGGAGACTCTATCCTCCTGAACTCTGAGGGCTGGTTCTCCAGCTGGTAGACGATCAGGCCCCTCTCCGCGGTCGCCACCACAGCCATCGGGTATATCTGGGGACAGCGGAGACCAGAGGCAGGCCTGCAATCAGCGGCGGTGTTTTTAAAACAACCCATCCCCCCAGGAGCGTGCTTTTTTTATACCGAAACATTAGATTGATTTTTCTGGAGCCGAAAAACAAGCCTGAGTTTTTCTAAGTTTAAAAATTATCAGTATGTTTCATGAAAACACAAAATCGTATTACAAAGCAGAAAATTCATATACTTTTAAAACTCGTTTCTTTAAAACAATAAAAAATATGAATACTTAGAAAATAAGGAATAGAGAAGGAATGAAAACCACCTACACCACCCCTTCAAACGACAGCAGCTGTTAACATTATGGTACGTTTTACTTCGGTCTTTCCTCTGCGCATTACACACGTGCCCGTACGTGTGTGTCTGTGACCTGTGTCGTTAAGCCAGGGCGTGTATTCTGAGATACTAGTGACCGTCCGAGAGCCCCGTGGGTGAGCCCACCGCCATCTCCGCCTGCCGCGCCGGCCCACCCGGGTGCCCCCAGGGCCTCCCGCCATCGTTCACGACAAAGACCATCTGCACCCTCATCGTTCTCGTGACCCGTTCCCACAAGTGCGACTCCAGGGGCGGCCGGCATGGAACGCCAGGGCCAATGACTAGATGGATGGAGCGAGCTCTCCTTTTCCTCCCCGCGAGACGGCCCTCGAACACCTGGCCCGCAGAGTTCCTGCCCGTGTCCCTACTGCCACACATACATGTCATACACTGATGGCCTCTACTCAAGTGACAAGGGACCAAAACCCTGGCACCCGGTGTCTAGCAGCTCTGACCCAGCCAGCCCAGGGATCCCTTGGCTGGAGACGGCCGCGGCAGCTGGAACCCCGCCCTGTCCGGCCGCGGGGGCCCACAGATGGCCCCGTCCACTTAGCGGAGGCGCACAGCGCGTCAGAGACGCCTCACCATGTCGGCGCAGTAACAGCGCTCCGGCAGCTGCAGGACCATCATGGGATTGGACGAGCGCGTGTCCCAGAACTGCAGGGCAGAAGGGCCAGGCGTGAGACCCAGCCAGCCCGTGTCCGCGCGGGGCGGCAGGGCGGGCCGGGGCGGGGGCGGGGGCGCACCTTCAGAGTCTTGTCCCAGCTGCCGGTCATCACACAGCTGTAGTTCGGCGCTTTGATCCAATGGATCGTTTTCACAGGCGCGTCGTGCTGTCAATGAGACAAAACCAGAGCCGATGCAGCAAAGTGGGGCTGAGGCTACAGAGCTCTAGTTTCCCAAGTTCACAGAGAGGGGTGAGGTTAAACACTGAGGCAACGCCCAGCGAAACAAAAGGGGTGTTTTAGCCCTTTGCCCGGCCAGAACAGGCCAAGTGGCAGCCGAGCACACACCTGCCTCCCGTCCGACGGCCCCAGCTGGTCTTCCCCACAGTTAGCTGGCGTGTGCGAGCCAGCCCCTGCTGGGACGCCACCATAGGTTTTTGTTTTTGTTTTTTAAAGCTTTTAATTTATTTTTAGAGAGAAGAAGGGAGGGAGGAAGAGAGGGAGAGAAACATCAGTGTGGTTGCCTCTCACACCCCCCCTCCTGGGGAGCTGGCCCACAAGCCGGGCAGATGCCCGGACTGGGAATCCAACCGGCGGTGGCCCTTTGGTTGGCAGGCCGGCACGTGGTGCACTGCGCCGTGCCCGCCAGGGCCTCCGCCGCGGTTTTCTCACCGACTCAGAAGCCATGACCTAAGCGATCAGGAGACGCCTCGTGCACACAGCACCGTGACCGGAGTGCGCCGCGCCTTCCCGAAAAGGGCCCCGCACCCCCCAGGTCAGACCCTCGGGTGCTAGGTTCCCTCACCTTCGCTACTTCTGCCTTTCTCAGAGGACGTCACACAAGAGCCCCCTTCTGTCCCTGAGCAGACTACAGCGCTCCAGGGGCGTGCGGGAGTGTCCCCTCACTGCCGGACCTCCCTGGTGACTGTGCGTGCCCACAGCGGGCATCTGACAAATGCCGGTCCAGTGAACGCGGGACCAAATGTCGTTGGTAAAAGGCAAGCCACTCACAGGTGCTGGAGTGCCGAGCGAGTGGGTGTTGCGGGCTGCCTGTAACACGGGTCTTTCATAGCTTTAATGTCACTCACCCCTCATGACGCTGTCCTCGCCTGCACTCACAGGGACGCGACCACCTGTGACGTGCCAGTGAGGGCGCGCGCCCGTGGCGCTGGTGCCACGGCTGTGCCGGCCCCCGTGTGCTCCCACCTGCCCGAGCCCGCGTGACCCAGCTGCGCTTCCCTCCGTGACGGGGGGTTCCACGCGGGCGCTGCCTGTTGCGGAAGGCGAGGCCTCCTTACCTGGGCGATCTGAATCGCCTGATTGCTGTTCAGGTCCCACATTTTGGCAGTTTTATCACAGGAGGCCGTAAATACTTTACTCCCATCCTGAAATAAAATAGAGGAACTATCATTCTGAGAAAAAGAAAATCTGACTGTATGTATATTTAGATGAGGTTAAACATATCCAGCAGGTTCTGTTCTGCAATTTTGATTTTTCCAATTATTTGGGGCCACTATTCCATAAACTACAGTCGTACACAGAACACATTTTCAGGCCCGCTTTCATTACTGATTATTTTTCAGAGAGGTACTGCGCAGGCAGGACGAACAGATGCGGAGGGCACTCAGCTGCACACGAGAACTCGGCCTCCCCAGCTAGACGCCAGCTCTTCTCTGGGAGCCGCTGCGGGCCAGGCGTGTCCTCCAGGGACAGACCGCATAGCGTGTCCCTTCCTGCATCACCAGGGGCCACCGACATTTTTTAATTTTATCAATTTCCAGCCTTTGCCAAAGTTGCGAGAATGAAATGACAAGCACCCACAAAGGCTCCACCTAGATGCACAAATTATAAACAGCTGCTCTTTCCTTTCTCTCGACACGTACATGTGCACTCACGCCCTCTATTCAGCTCTGTAACTAACACTGTTCCCAAGGACATGTGATAAAACCGCAGCAGCTTTCACTCATCGGTGGTCCTACGCCAACCACAGAATAGCTCAGAAACAGCAGTCTTCGGGTAACGGTTTTTAAAACATTCACACACACAACTCAAAGCAGGCCAAACATGAAGCACAAGATACCTTTCCGGAAAAAGAGACAGCACTACATGGAAAGTCTAGACCAGGGGCTGGCAAGGTTTTCTTGAGGGGCTCCTGTTGAACAAACACTTCGGCCCTCATGGGCCCCCAGCGCCACCTGGCTCTGCCAGCGGGAAGGGGACGAGCGTGGCCGCGGGCCGCAGGCAGCTCCTCTCGGCTGCGATGACTCTCTTCATTTTACACGTGAGCGCCACACCCCCTGCTTTGCGTAGCTCCAGTCCAGCCAGCACAAACCGCCAGGACCTGAAACCCTCACTGGTTTCCGTGCGTGTCGCGCGAGTTCACAAGTCCCCGGAGCACAGGATTCGGCCCCCTCGCTGGCCCCAATTCCCACTACATCCCCGATGCTTCAGTGTACAGAGGGGGCCTGGTAACCGTGTGCTGAGTGAAATGCTGTTCTCTGCTGTCATTGCTATTTCCATTTTATAGGTGAGGAACCGGGCGCGGAGAGGTTGTGTAACCCGCCAAAGTCAAAAAGCAGGAGACAGAGGCGAAACTTGAACCGAAGCCTGGATGAGACAATGAGTGAAAAGCAACGGGCACGTGCTCCCTCCTCCTCGGGAATGCAGCTCGATTCCTGCCCAGCGGCTCCTGCACACAGCCCACGCCCGCCCGGCCCCGCCGCCCTCCTCGGGGCAGCGCGCGGTGCTAGACCCCTGCCAGGCCTGAGTCCCCACCAGACGAGGCACAACGCCGCGAGAGGGAACAGGCCGCACGCGCTTGTGAGGGCCGCCGGCCACTCAGTGGCATCCGGGCAGCAGAGCTCTCTCCCGTATCAGGGCCCTGTGCGTCTCAGCGCGCGTCCCTGTGCGTCTTGGCGCGCGTCCCTGTGCGTCTAACCCCGACAGCCCCGGTCCACCATCCGCTCAGTAAGGAAGGCCGGCAAGCTAGTTTGAAAATTACATTTCCCACATGTAAACGGACAATAAGTTCTACCTGTAGTAAGTGCACCCCTTTTCAAACTGTTTTCATCTACCAGCGGCACACCCACCTGCCTCTGCCTGCCGGCCCCGGGCCCCAGGCCTTCCCGCGCCCGCCCCGCTCGGCACCAGGTGGAAGGGTGGGGTGGCCCCCGCCCTGCACCTCTCTCTGCCTCTCTCTGCGGCTGGCCGCCCATCCTTCACCTTGAAATCCTCCTCAATCAATACCAACAAAACAACAAAAAACACCTTGAACATGTTTGCTTAGGCAGCTGACGTTCAGGAGGGAAAACGGAATTCCAAAAACCCAAATGACTTCAAATGTCTAATAACAGAACAGGGTTTCTCTCCCCCCTAGGATGTTTCCTGAGATTGTAAAGTTCTAATTTTAAATCAACATTAGCTCATGGAATATTTAGAAGTAGGAAAGGCTTTAAGAAAAATCCTTTGTTCCAGGTAACAGGCCAATAAAATAATGGATTTTTTATGCAAGAAAAGCTTTCACAGAGATCAACGGATGCCAACACGGACTATATTAGGAACATCAATAAATTCCTATCTTTACATTAGGAAATTCAGAATTTCTTCAGTGTGTATACACACACGTTATCTGTGTCTGGGTTAGAGGGAAACAGAAACACACACACACTCTGAGCGACACCGAGCTTTCTGCTCGGGAGAAGCCAGGACGGCAGGGCGAGACTTACGTCGCTCCAGCAGACGGCGAGCACCGGCCCGGTGTGCATCTGCTGGGCTTTCGGGATCGTCTGTCCGCTGTCCTGAACTTCCCAGCAGCGAACCTGTGGCGGGAAGACGAGTTAACGCCAACATGGCCATTTCTGAGCAGTCGCAGGCACTTAACTACTGGGGTACAATTTGAATCCAGATGGACTGCTACCAACCTACCGATTTAACTTTGAGAATAGAGCAAATGAAAAGTATACACAAGCAGCTATTTTCCTAGACCTATTTCTAAGCCATTAAAATATACACATCCTTTTGCTTCCCCCTAAAACCGCAGACACCTCTCTCCTCGCCACTGTGGGCTGCGTCCATTCCCTGGAGCAGAACGCTGTCCGTTAACATTCAGAGACCTAAAAACAACGCGGAAACGCACCTTTCTTCTCTGACCACTGTGACTTTTTATATTGTTTTCACCCTGAATACAAAAGGCATTTTCCTTAGAGATTTTGTAAATATGACAAAATAAAAATCACCCTCATCCCACCAGACAACTAGCTGACAGCTGTGTGCGTCCAGTCTTCTGTGCACACGTATCTCCCTCAAAAACGAGACTTGGTATCTTCACTTTTGTATTGATAACTGCTGCTTCCCTCACTTGCAGTAGTTGCCAATAAACATTCTTGCATTTTTTTTGCAGAGCATCAGTTGAAGTCGTTCCAGAAAGTCCATGTAGAAACCCAACTACCCAACCCGGCCCACGTCCCCCGCCTCCCCGCGCCTCGTCTCGCGGCCCTGCCGCTCCTTCCGCAGACTCCGGAAGAACGGTGCCCCCGTTTGGACGTGTCACAAATGACTGTTCCTGTCAAACATTACAATTTCTGCCACTCTCACTGCACGAGGCCTTTCCTAACCGGGGCGGCAGCCGGCAGCGGCACGGGGCGCAGACGCTCTCAGGCCCCAGAAGGGAACCACGGAGACACAGCGTACGGACTTCAGGGTTTCCGAGTGATGCTGCCAATTACCGGTACACAGGCCTGCCAACACCGCATGCAAAGGTTCGGCTTGTCGTCAGCACTGCAAGTAATTCCTTTTAGCTTTTTATTTTTGTTAAGTTGATAGAAAAATAAACTCTATCATGTAAATGTGTGTTTACCAGATTATAAGCGTGGCCCCATGGTTCCAGTTTAATGGGCCACTCGAACTCCTCTTTGTGAAGCGTCTCTTCATGTCCTTAGCTTATTTTTCTACCAGCTTTTGTCTTTCCTTTTTATACACAATTGGTACATACACTGTCTAGGCAGAATCCGTGCTGCACCTAAAGGAGTTTACCATATGCGCAAAGAACATCTCCAGGGCGCCTAGAAGGGAAATTTGGGCGCACTGATCCCCATCCGCACTGGCTGCCCCCGCCGAGCTGAGATGGAGCCAGAGGCAGCGCTGCTGGGCCACCGCCCGACCCCGCTTCCTGAACAAAGCTCAGCACACCGAGAACTGGTGTCTGCTCGCTCAGAAGGCTTCACACCCTCTGATTTACTTAACACTTGTTTATTGAAATATACACTAAGGTATCTCTACAGAAAACTGTACAGATAGAGTTCCCTTACACCCCGCATCCAGTTTCCTTGCTTCCTTCTTACTCTGGTCATCACAGGTAAGTCTTACCTCAGCTCATTCGCTTGGGAGAGGATGGAGGACCCCCGCCAAAAGAAAAGCGAGCCCCGCCCAGACTCACAGGAGACACACCGAAGGAGCACTTACGTCGTTAGCCCACGATCCTGCAATGAGAAAGTTCCCCGGCAAGGTGGGTGGGCTAAAAGATAGACAACCAATGCTATCGTCAGGAGAGGATGTTACTTCAATATCCTGGTGGGGGGAAAGGTCAATGTTAAAATGTATGCATCATTCCAGTTACATTCCAAATTGCCTTCTCGCTCCCTAAACACCTCCCCGTGGACATTCCCTGTGCTCCACACCTAACTGAGTCGGGCGTGCCTTACTCTGACTAGAAGGGCCATGAGAAACAAGGTGGGGAAGCACAGGTTGTGCCAGGCGGCGGCCCCCAGTCCGCTCTCGCCCGGGGGCTCTGACAAAGCTCTCACCCGCAGAAACTCTCCTCAACTGTGGGGGGGGGGGGGGGGGCGCCTGGGAACCTGCGATTTTAACCAGCGCCTCGGGTGACTGGTGACCGGGACAGTGAGGGGAGCTAGGACGCTCGTCCAGGGGACGTGCGGTTTCCACGCTCCGATGGTCGAGAAAGGAGCCGGATGAAGTTTCACAGCTTCCACCCCAAAGCAGTCCCCCAAGCTATCTCGGTTTCCCTGGCCGGCACCCTCTGGGCAACGCCCGACGTGGCACCTTCATGGGGTTGTGGTTGTCCGTGGCGGTGCTGCCGAACATGCTGGTGCCGCTGGTTCCAAAACCCGAGGTTGTTCCAAACAGGCTCATTTTGGCCCTAAAAAATAACGGAAAAGGTTAAAGACAAGTCCTCTTCTTAAGTAATAAATATCAATGAGAGGCAATATGAGGCTCATTAAGTCACAAAAGGGAAATAGTCTAAATGGCTTGATGCTAGGTCTCTCTCTTTTGAGGAGATCTAAATATGTGACAAGCAAAGTGCGTTTTAAAAATAAACTTTCTACTTCAGAACAGTGTTAGACTCACAGAGCATTGTAAAGACAGCAGAGTTCTCTTACACCCCGCACCCAGCCACCCTGTGTCCTCCTCGCGTTTGCTGCCATCAATGAACCGGTGCGGGCACACCGCGGCAGGGTGCTTTTTCACAGCTGGACCCCGAGCTGCGCACCAGGAAACACAAGAGCGAATCAGCAGAAGGTCCTGTTCCTCTAGGCTCCCACTTAGTGACAGTTCGCTGTCTCCTGATCTCCGCATGCTGCTTTAGGTCACTATCCCTGCATGACGCTACTGAGCAAAGCGACCGGTCCTGGCTGCAAGTCAGCAACTTTTTTGGAGAAGTTCTGTAAGTAACCTGCTTGGGTCTGCTTGAGCACCAAAGGTTTCGCAGCACGTGCGGACGTCGAGCAGCAAACACCCCCTAGTCTGAGTTTTCAGTAAGCCCGCCAGGGTTTGAACCCTGCCTCTGCCCCTCTCCAGAGCTGGACGCTGCTCTCACCCGGCCTTTACCTCCCTGCTCTGTAGATACAAAAAGTATTAACATTTTCTCTGGGCTACTCTGAAGATCAAATCAGATTATGTGCGTAGGAAGGGCAGCATCACATAGCAGGTACAATAAACAACTTTCCTTTGCAAGGAGGAGGTCTGTGTATCATAACTCCCGGATGACCCATGTACGTCGATACCACATTTTCCATTTTGGCATCAGCAAAACTTTAACGCGAGAAGTCGACCCGCCAGTCAGCTCCCCGTGGAGCCTGGGGCCGAGCAGCACGCTCACTAGCAAGGGTGGCGTCTCCGAAAAACACAACACAGAGCGGGACACAGCTAGGACTCCTGGCAGCAGGGGTTTGGCGTCTCAGCGCCACACTGGAAGAAGAAGCCTCTTGGGCTACACGTTAAATACACAAACACTAACGGAAACGGATGAGCAAAAAAAAAGGTTTTAAGTAAATCTACGATTTCGAGTTGGGCCGCACCCACAGCCATCCTGGGCTGCCGTGCTGCGGGTTGGACACCCCATTGGAAAGGCATTTCCTGAGTTTCCCGAGCTTCATGAAAGACAAGCAGGTGCAGATATACGAGGTAAAAGCCATAGCTCAGAGCACATTACTGTCTCAGAAAGCGACTCTGTGAGAGGACATGGTGTTTGCCAACTACCTCCGCCTTAAATGTTAGCAACTACGTGGATCACCAGCTCACTGCATGAGCAAACAGACAAAGCAACGGCTGGGCTTCTGCAATCAGAGTCCAGGAACCAGCTATATGGCTCTGGCCATGTCACTTCGCCTTGATTTTCTCATCCATATAAATAGAGTCACCAGTATCCACGCCAGGAGGTTAGGGAAACCAAGGGAGCACACACACGGGGCCCAAAACTTGTGCCTTCTGCTCCTCTCCCTCTTCCGCCGTCAGGGTGGGAGAAGACATCTCGGCCATTAGGGAAGAGCCCAGGTCACTCAGGGGCAATCAGCCTCTGTGGAACACAGGCTGTGCAGGGCCCTGGGAACCGCAAGGAGACCTCCCTCCACCTCCCACCGCCCAGTCTCCGCCCGCTCTGCTCGCAGCCGCAGCCACACCAGCTCTGCAGGCTTCCTCCCGGTCCCAACACAGAGCGTCCATCCGGGCGGGGGGGGGCGGGGTAGGGCGGGGAGCGGCGCATTCCAGCCGGCGGTTCCGGGATAATCCGCCCCCGCCCCCAGCCTCCAGCGGCCCCAGTCTGAATCTTCAGGTTTCCTCTGGTTCTCAAGGTGTCTCTCGAGGACTTTGGAGGTGATGGAGATGTTCTAAATCTGCACGGCAGTGAAGTCCACACAACTGTATTACACTCCCCAAACTCACCAAAACGTACACAATGGTATAGCTTACAACCGAATTCTTAGACGTACCTTTTTTTTTTTTCCCAAAGGTCACCTCCTCAGAGGCTTCTCTGCCTTCCTAATTTAACATATCCAACCCTGGATCACTGTCCCCCACTCCCCCTTTCCGTCACAGCACCTGTCACAACCCGGAATCTCGTCAATCAACTTCTTTCCCAGGAGGACGTCTGCTGCAAAGGGGCAGAGGCCTGTTTGGGTTCTTCCCTAACGCACACCTGGGGCGGCTGGTCATTAATGGGTGCCTGTCTGGGGGCAGTGTGTATGTGTACGTGATAAATACCTGGGGGAGGAAGACAGAAACAAAAAGACGGGCTTCGTTTCCGAGAGCAGTTAAGTGCAAAAGGGGGGACTCTGGGAGGGTGACGTGGGAGGGGCTAAAAGAGGATGGGCCTGGGTAAAGAACGGTCAGGCCAGGTCTACGGGGAGGTGGCCCGTGTCTGACGAAACGCCAAAACTACGCCGGGAAGAGGAGAGGCTACACGCGCGGCCATCGACTCTGTGACCCTTCCAGGTGCCTCAGTTTCCCCACGGGAGAAACGAGGCGGTTAGACCCGAGGGGACCGCTAAGGCCCCTTCCAGTTTTGACGTCACTCCCAGGGACCACTAAGGCAGCTCCTCAACAGCTCGCAGCGGGGCGCGCTCCGCCGGGGGGACCCGGCCTCGGCGGCGCCATGGCGGCGGGTAATGAGGGGAGGCGGCACAGGGGCTACCTGAGAGTCGCACTGCGGCGAGAAGCTGGCTGCGGGGACCGGAAGGACTCGGGAGCCTGCGAACCCGCTCTGGCGCGAAGGAGGCGAGGGCGAGATCGCGCGAACACGAATTCTGAGAGCCCCGGATCGCCCCACGCCGGCGAAGGAAACGGCCCCGATTACCGTGGAGACAACGCGCATGCGCCGCCGAGCCACTTCCTACGTCGCCCGGAAGGCGAGGAAGAAATAAGAAGGCTCCGCCTCCCGCGAGGCGAGAGCACATGCGCACAAAAGCTATTGACGTCGAGAGAAGACGCTCTTGCCAACAGCTTGCGGATTGGTCGAAAGTTCCTGCGGCCGACTGCACAAAGCAGAGGGACCGCTTTGATAAATCCGCTTCCCGGGCTGGTGGAGGATAGCGTTTGGTGAGCGAAAAGTCAAGCAAAATGCTTACTGCAGCTAATTCAAGGCCAACTCCATCCTCCTGAGAGCCCACCTTTCTAGCAAACTCCCTGCTGGGGTTGCGGGGCCACGCACTGCAGTTGAGCACCGAGGATCTAGATCAGATACTTAGAATCACTTAAGGGAGCTTTAAAAAGCTCTGATGCCTTGGCCTCCTCTTCAGGTTCTGATTTAGTTGATCTGGGGTGGAACTGAGGGAATTAATATTTTTAAAAAGCTCCCAAGAGATTCTAAGATGCAGCCAAGATTGAGAACCTCTCGTCTAGATAATACTAATAGCTCTTTGGAACACTAGGTGATTCCTCTACTGTAATTTCCAGAGCAGCCCTATTAGGTGGTTATTGTAATAATCTCTGTTTCATAGACTAGGAAAGTGAGGCTGAGAGAGGTAGCGTGACTTATCAGAGATAATGCAACTGCCAAGCAGTGAAGCCAATGAAGCCTGCCCTGTGCTTAACTCTCCTACCTGCAAAACCCTAGAATCTTCTCTGACCAGTCCTCCCTTTCAACTTCTCGACCACCTTTCCTCATTCTTTCCCAAATGGGTCATCTCGAACCATCTCTCCTTTGAACTCTCAAAGCCTTCTCAAAGACAACTCAGTGCTTATCCTATTCAACCTCATAAAACAGTGCATTTGCCTTGCCGAGTTTCCTAATCTTAAACGTTGTGTCTTACTCCCATGTATATCTTGTTGCAGCACCGAGCACAGCATCTGACATATATTCGTTGTTAATATTTGTTGAATGATACTGTTCTACTCAAAGAGAATCTTTCAGAAGCATCTATGACAATAGAGATTCTCATATAGTACTGGTGATTCTTCATACTTCCAAAAATTTCCCTCCTCTTTAGGGTTCCAATTGACAAGCCGTATTTGCATATCCCATCCGTGGAGCAACAGCCCCAGACGCACAGGCAAACATGATAACGACTAACTTTCCTTGACCCTTCCCAAAAGGCATTATTCAAACACACACTTTCCATGCAATTCTCATGCAATCATCTCAATGACTCTGTAGGATAGGTGTTGTTGTCCCTTTTTATGGTGATGAAACCAAGACCAGATGGTCACTTGTCCCAGCTGCAGAGGCAGTGAGTAGAAGTGGATTTGGGATGCAAGCAGCCTGCCCCCCAAACCTGACTCTACACCCCCACAGATGGCAGATTGTGGAAAGCATCACACGTTTCCCCCCTGGAAAACAAGAAGGGGGGTTGCCACGGTCTGTACCCATGGGTTTGATTAGTGAGCCATTGATTACAGGTGAAATATTATTAAAAATGAAAAAATAAAGTGAAGTTTGGTGCTGGCTGTCATTCACACTGGTAAACCCTTTACACGGGGACATTCATGAGTGACTTCACAGTTTATATTCTACTGCTGGGTGAGTGAAAACTGAATGTGCTTGTAATTTTGAATCAGTTCTTTTTCATTTGAAGTGATCTTTAATTCTTAGATTTTAATTAAAATTTTTAATTTCGTTGAAGTTTTTGTAACGAGCTGAGTTGTAAGGAGGTACGCATTACGTGTCGCTTGACAAGGAACTGGGGGCATTCAAAGCTGAGGGTACAAGATGGATCCCTGTCTAGTACTCAGCTTCACACGCAAATACTCACAGTTTCCCCAGCCCCCTTCGTGGTGTCTCAGACTCTTTCACCCCATTCCTTAGAGCAAAGACCTGAAAATGTTCTAAAGAAATGTCCGCCCCAAGTGGTGGAAGGAGTTGAGAGCTCAGTAGACCTCCTGCCAGCAGAGGGCGACCTTAGCTTGTTTTTACAGGATCCTTTCCTTGGGTTGCATGCCTTTACTGGTGAACAGAGCTTTCTCAATACTTTCCTCCAAACATTCCGTTGCAAATCCTCTTTAGGGCAGATGCACATGTGGCTTAGCTTTGAAAGCACTTCCCCCCCTCTTTTCAGCACCACTGAACAGATATCTACATCAAACAGTTCCACTGGGACACTCTCACCAAAGGAAGTTGTGGAAATCCTGGAGTGTTTTTTGCCTATTTTGTAGAAAGTCCAATTTTTTTTCCCCATGAAATCATGACTTCTGAAATTACTTAGCATCATCAACAATGACAGTTAAATTTCCCCGAAACTGAGTGTATCACAGAGCTTTTATTTTACTAGGGTGATTATAAGCCTTTACGGAAAAAAACCCCTCTGAACATCTTTTTGTTGCAGGAGTTTTATTACTTTAATTATAAACAGATTCCAATTCAAATGTTCTTCCTTGATTAAGATTATGGAAATTTTAAAAATAAATACCGTAGATGGTGGTAGAGAGGATGTCTGTTGTCAGTTGTCATTTTAAAGAGCTGCCAATTTTACAGTAATCCTTTTGGGGAACAAATCTTAAGAATTAGAATTCTAGATGATTCCCAAATAACTAGTAACATTAATTTTTCATCTGCACCTGATAAAGATAGGTAGCAATGCCAAACTACAGTGTATTTTTCTCTTTCCATTTTCATTTTCCAAATAAAGAATATTTTAAGTAAATTTCCAATCATAAACTTGAGGTGACTTTAATCGTCCATACTGAATGTTCTGCAAGCCTTTTTCAAATTTTAGTGACTAGTGTAGATTTTTCATTCCCTCCCATTTTGGCAGTATATCTTGATCCAGAGATTCTGAGGCTTAACCATAAGTTAGTCATCTTCTTTACAAAACTTGTCAAAGCTTAGTGATATAATTAGATGTTAGCAGAAGACGTATAGTATAAATTCAAAGAAAAACTGTGATTTATAAAAATTTTTCTCAAATTTTTAAGTCTTACAAGTAAGCCAAGTTAATGGTATACCAGAATGTTCTCACAATGAAGCATTCAGTTCTGATGTGACCAGGGAATATAACACATTATTGACACCACAGGCTTGGCATGGGACCTTGAGCTGACTCGTAGCCAACAGCAGGAACTGCAGACCTGCCCCGAGCAGTGCGCACACGTGGCCTCAGGGAGCGCTTCGCGTGGACTGGCATCACAGTCAAAGCCTGAGCTCGGAGCCAGACGCTGGGCGTAGGCCCAGCTCCACTGCTCAGCAGCTACATGGCCTTGGTAAAGTTCGAAACCGCTCTGTGCCTTTGTTGTCTTTCCTGTGAAATAAGGATGGTAAGAATACTACCTAGCTGATAGGGTTTCTGTGAAGATGAAATTAATGTTTGTAGAACTAAAAAAATACCTGGCACATAATGTGTCACATAAAGTATTTTCTTTTATTGTTGCGTTATCTTGTTGAGCAGCTACTAGAACCTGGTGAACAGGGCCAGCTTCGCAGGTGTGCGCCCTGTGTGGTCACACCAGGCCCCATGCGGAGAAGGGCCCCATGCTTGGCGTGACGCTCTGCTGCTTTTACCTTGAAATTCTCAGTCACATTTGAACAAGGGACCTGACACTGAGATTTCATGCTGGTCCTGCTCTTGAGGCAGAGAGGACTGCCTGCCTCAAGCCTAGAGAACAAGCGACATTCTCAGCGCTCTCACCTGTAAACTACAGGTGTAAGAGGTTCTTGGGAGACCTGTTGTAAGAGAGTGTGAAAGCAGCTTCTGTCACCTACAAGTACTCAGCAGTGATACCTAGTGTTACTGTTAACATTTCCTGGATAGAATAGGTAGCCCAATATTTTTGTATGTCTATAAATACATATTCTTGCTCACAATTACAAGAAACTTCTCAGGGCAGTTAACAGTTTATTGAAAGTACAGAATAAAATCATAAAACTCATCTGCAAAAATTAAGACATGTTTACGAGGGTGAAAGATCACATCTTAACTGTTACAGAAGGGTCTATTAAAATTTGAGGCTTCTGTAAATCTTAACACTGGAGCAGTTCTTTGTTCTAGAAACCTAGACTAGAGCAGAATTCAGTGGATTTGAAGTTGGGTAACAACTAGTAAAACCTTGAGAAAATTTTCAAATAAATATATGATTAAATAAAAAGTATGCTCAAAAACAAAATAAAAAGCACTGAAGACCCCGTACATGCAGATATTTATATATAATAAACTGCATTGATTCCACGAGTGAGCGAATGAGGTGTGACCCTACACTACAGAGGCAAAGGGACGTGCCGCTACAAGACCGCCGGACACTGTCGTTCATGTGCAACCTTGGAACCTGAGGTCATTATTATTTTTGTTGCTAGAAAGACACTTCATGAACATTCATTGTATTGTAGGAAAAAAATAAAACATTTTTGTAGACTTTGATGACATGTAAACTTTTTTTAAATAAAAGTTAAAAGTCAAAATAACATATACTTTTATAATTTAGAACATAAGATAGTGATCACTCTCTATATAAAGGGGGAATAAAGCCTTTGAAAGAAAGTTAGAGTACAGCATTTGTTTGGACAGAAATATAATGACATTTTACCTCTATGAAATTAAGAATTTTTTACCTCTATGAAATTAAGAATTTTTTTTTTAAACAACAGTTCCTACTACCAGAAGAAACACTGAGAATCCTCTTGAAATCACAAGATATATTCAGATATATTTTTATATCCACCCTCCAAATTTTAACTTGTTGGGTAAGTACACTCTGGAGAGATAATCCGATGACAGGAAGGTCAAAGCTTGAATTTCTGCCTTCATTTTAGAGCCTGCCATTATTTCCATCTGTCAACAAAGGTGAGATAGAGTCACACCAGGGCCCTCGGCACCATCCTGTCAGCTCAACAGAATGGTCAATCTGGACTTGTCTGGTTCTCCCAAACCATGG